GCCAGAGCGGGCCTTTGTGCTCGGTGTTGGCCCGGGGCCTGCGGCCAAGTCCGCCTGGCTTCTTGAGTGGACTGCGGGCAGCTCTTGAATCCCCCACGCCGCGCTTCCCTCCCCCAGAAGCAGAGGCCAGACGTACCTTGGGGCCGGGCTTCCCAGTAATGCCGCGGGGGCCTCGCTCACCCCGTGGACCCTGCGCAGGCGGGAAAGGGGGGTCAGCTCTAGCCCCGGGGCGTCCAGAGGCCCCCCGCCCGCTGGCGTCCCCTGCGACGTGCTCCCGAGTCCGGGAGCCCACAGGTAGTTACCGTGGGGCCTCGCTGTCCCCGGGGTCCCGGCTTCCCAGGCGTGCCCTGGAACCAGAGGGGAGGGCTGGTCAGCGGGGGCCGGGCCGGCCACCTAAGGGGCGAGGGCCCCGTGCGCAGCACTCACTGCGGAAACCGGTTTCCGCGGGGGGTCTCAGCCCGCCGGCGCCCCCCGCACTCCATGCCGGGGGGGGGGGGTGGGCTTGTTACCGCAAGTGCGTCTGCGTGCCACAGGCATTGCCCCTGCAAGCCCGCCGGGCAAGGGTGGCGTGTGGCTGCCCGCCGGTCTCACCAGGTCCCGGGAACGGGTGGCGCGGAGACCAGAGGCCCCACGAGCGGAAGCGCGACAGGTCTCTGCACCAGGCCCGGCCCGGGCACACGCCACAGCCACGTGCCCAGGCCACGCGCAGTCCACACATCCACCGTGCCCAGGGCCCAAGCCCCGCGCCACAGCTGTCCCGGGCCCGCATGGGAGGGGCACCCGCTGATGCACCCCACAGACCCCAGCCCGGCCGCGTGGGCACAGCCAGCTCCACCCGGCGCCCAGGCCAGAGGCAGCCTCGTGCTGGTGCCCGAGTGTCCCGGGGCAGCGGGGTCCCGGCTGGCTCCGGCGAGCTCCGTGGCAGGGCTGGGCCCGCCAGCGGCGGAAGGGGAGCCCCCGGTGCAGGCCGCTGCCTGGCCACGGAGTGCTGCGGTTCACTGCGACCGGCCCAAGCTGCCTGCTGCCCCCGGGGTGCGGCGGCCACTGGCTCCGTGACAGGCAGCTGACCGCGGGGGCACCGCCCCGGCACACTCACCGTCTCGCCTCTCTGTCCGGGGTGTCCCGGGAGCCCGTCCTTGCCTGGAGGACCCTGAGGGAGAAGCAA